CACTCAGCGTACCCGGGTATCGCCAAATACCGGAAGAGGAATCACTGACGCAAAACAATTACTCTACAGCATTAGCGTCGTATTTCACCTCTCGCACCTTATTAACATCACAACCTATCCGTTTTGTCTGATACGTTTATGTTGCAGTAATGTGCAGCGGTTAAATTTCCGTATCCTTCCCAAAGACCGCGCTTGTAAGAAGGGCGTAATCCTGGCTAGGCTTGAGAGTAATTCATGTGTGTATGCAATTGGTGCAATAGAAGCCTCATAAATGGCGTCTTTCCCTGACATCTGGTGAACTTACCAGCAGCTCCACCGCCTCAAGTGATCAAGTGTACTCTCCTCAGGATGACTCATACTTTTCACCCAGTCGATGCGCCGAATATGTGCACCAGCCGTTTCATCCTTCAACGATGCAGCCTGCTCCAGATGGACACAAACCATTGGTTGCAACAATTTCAGAAGCGAATTTATTCTCCTGTTGTTTTTCAGATGCCCCTCCAAAGAAACGCTAGGTGTATTCGGATAGAATACGAAAATAAGGGGTTTTTAGCCTCTCCAACAAGCGTTGATGAGCAACCGTTTATAGCGACTTCCGGTACGGATTCGGAAAGGAACAACAGCGCGGAAATGCTGGAATGCGGAAATGCCGGTGCTCCGAATGATCCAATCAATCCAGGGTCTCCAGTAATTCTGTACAGTCCGGCGGATGATGATGAGTAAGTGGAACTGTGGGGTTGTTAGCAACTACTTTTCCGAACAAAACTAATCACTGAGGGTTCCTCGTGGGCCAAAAATGATCAAAAATACTTCTAGAGGAAGTAACTTTCTCTGGGGGTGTTGAAAGTGAACGAAGCCTAAAAAGTTGGGCCCAGTAAAAAGTATTATGTGGAAATCTACTGCTCTGTCCGCTTGAAAAAGAATACTTTTGTCCTAATTCGTGTTAATGAATCGGTAAACATAGCTGGCAGTAGCCCACTTACAGTTTACAAGGTTTGCAAAACTAGCTGGCAACCAATCTGGTTTTTTGCAAAACTAGCTGGCAACCAATCTGGTTTTGCCGGTCAAAGCCAGCTGAACGTGAATGTATATATATGGGCAATCAGAGGAGGTTCTCTTTGAACCGAATGTGGTGCTAAATGCATGCCTCCAGCAGTGATGTAGAACAGGATGAATAAGATCAGTGGATAAACGAACCGAGGTCTGTTGTAGGCCTAAACATGACTGAGTGGCAATGACGTTAGGTACTTGTATATCCTCCAGTTGTCCGTGTTATCTTCCCTTTTCTCTACGTTTTATCATAATACTGATATGTCCACATTGTAGCTTCGTGATGTTATTCCTTGAGACCAAGCATTATCAAGTGGTTTAGATAGTATTGGAGAAGCCTTGTGGTATTCCGATAGTCACACGCAATATGTGACGAAGTCAGTCAGGCGCTAGCTGGAAAAATTACATATATTTATCCCCCTACTGTAAGGATTTTCAGAGGAAGGGATTACTACACGTTTCTAAGGATGATCTCCACTGGCTGGAGCTGGATTACAACAGGTATGATTGATTTAGAACCCCAGGAAATCCTTGTCTCCTTCAGGGGACCAGCTGTGTCGGAGGAGCGGTCCAGATTTTAGCGTACTGCAAAGAACATCTGCCGACGTTACGGCACACTTCTCTCAAAGAAATACCAGCCACCTTAGGGTGTACACTCAAGCGTAACTGCTCACCATGAGGGATTATTCATGCCAATTTTAATACTACTAGTTTTGTGCATTATTTCATCTCGATTCAGTCAATAACTGTTTCCCACAATTTTTAGCACAGTTAAATGAATCAGGAGTTATTTTGTCTCAGGTAGTCTAACGAATTCTATTCTGAAGGCAATATCTACAATTCACACACATTCATTCGTTATTCTCATCTGATTCTCCAATTCATCATCATTCATCATCATCAACAACAACAACATCACTGTCATCCTTCTCGTGATCGCTATGATCAGCTGGCACCGGGGGTGTACATACGTTCCTTCTTCATTCTGACCATGACTGGGAACTTCAAAGTGTCATTCTCACTACCACACGAACAATAAGGGTCGCCCGTTGTTACTCAGGCGATCGGGTGCTTTTCACGCTATGATCAACTGGCACCGGGGGTGTACATATGTTCCTTCATTCTGACCATGACTAGGAACTTCGAAGTGTCATTCTCATTACCACACGAACAATAAGGGTCGCCTGTTGTTACTCAGGCGATCGGGTGCTTTTCACATGCACTACAGAGTAGATAGTTTGGTTTAAACTTTACCAACTGTATGGAATGAAATCGACATTGCGGCATCTACCAAAACCAAGAATGGAAAAATAGCTATTTTGTAACCAATCATTGCGGTTCAAAAGGGGCAAAGCGGTCTGCGAGAAATTGGGTAGGGATGTGGAATCAACAAATTACGATACTCTTCTGGTAACAAAACCAGTAAACGTTTCGTCAGAATGGTATCCACATCATTGTCCCACTTTCCACCTAACAGGACACTTGGTGGGCACATTCTGAAACGTGTAGTCTAGATGTAGTCACGAAAGCCGTTAGGTCAGAAGTCGATTCGCGTTCCAATTGTCAAAAGCTAGACGTCAGTTGGATTCTGGCCATCAGACTAGCCCGGTCATCTCATTACTGACCTTTTTGAGTGGTACAAATCTCAAAGTTTGAGCGATGAACGAGGTGCTACTGATCACATCAAGCCAACTCTGTCTGTTTGCACAAAAACATTCAAAGCAAACGATTGGGCGTTAATCAGGTGACCTGCAGAAATCAACCAATCAGCGTGCGTTCAGCGTGGTTTCTACGCTTTTATCGCGTCCTTGACTGTACGGAGTAAAAAATGTTAACATGACGCGGTACATGTCTTCCACCAGTTCTAATTTGATATCACTCTGTTTTTAGGTCACAGTATTGTAAGTGTTTCCCCAAGATAGTTGCCGATATGTGTGTGACACTGCAATTGAGGTGTTATCATACCAACGGCGGGAATCATAAACGTTGCATCACTTACCTTCGTCTCTTTAGAATCGCGCTCACATCAATTACGGCCTACTTTAACTGGCACCATATTGTCATCAAACGCACTCAAAGGGTGGGTTTAGTGCCTTAATAGCCCCACTGTTAGTCTTCCTAAGACGTACCAGTCACTTCATATGCACCGTATATGTCCCATTACATCCAGTGCGCGTGTACTTGTAATAATTAGGCTGATAAACAGGAATACTTACCAAAGCACGTAAAGCGTAGTCCGGAATGTCAAGGAGAAAACTGAATACGCTTCACATGAACATGCCCGGGGATAACCCAAATGAAGCAATCGTGCGTACCTAGTTTGCCCATTACTTAAAAAATTTGGACAGAAACTGACTGCACAGAAAACTTTATCAAAGTCCGGTACCCGTATCTGTAGCAACGTCTCTAGCCGGTTTAGAGAAGGGTCTCAGAAGTCGTGTTAGGACAACCGCATGCACAGTGCTCATAATCTCCCTCACACTCTCATTTCAACTAATCATGTGAGTTGTACCGTCCAGGATGTGGGACGACGTATACCGATGGTTCGGCATTCAAAACCCAGGACCGAGCTACCGCAATGACCACAGATTTTTCCTGCAATTCCCACTGATCCAAATCCCCGTTCGCTGAACTTCTTGGTACACAGTTACTGAAGAGTGTCAGTGCCAACGATGGTGATAATATCAGCCCCCAGGGCTTTCAACTCCACATTCGCAACCATCTACCAAGCGTGCAGAGGCTTACGACCTGTCGAGGGTTGTTTCCAACCCAGAAAAAGCAAAATGTCTCTCCGTTATTGCGAGGGTCATGTTCGAGGGGGAAGGAGTACATATCCATGGGACTAAAGCAATGTGCTAGGTTAATCAAATTATCAGCGACTGGATCTGGCAGTGTTGAGAAACACAGGTGGAAGAAGGTAAACCCCTTGCCACATTGTTACTTAGGGGACACCAGCTAAACAGGTACAAACTATTGGACAGGAAAGTAAAACTCTCATATGCACCTTATTTTTAAAAAGCTAAATAGTCGTCTGCTTGAACGCGTCTTTTTGAACTTTCCTGGGTATTAGTTGACTATCACGCAATTGAAAACGAATGCTGCAAAGTGGTTCAACAAATCGCCTAATAAACCCCATCTTCCATTAGACGTGAAGCGGAGTTATGAGAAATACATGTACTACTGGCATGTCTCATCAGTAGTATCCGCTGTTACACAATTGGCTTGTGTGTCGGTTTTTGATCTTCCAGACAAGCAGGGTCTGCTAATTTGAAGTAAAAAAACAGTAAACTGGAAACAAAATTTTGACCATTTGTGTTCTCTGTGCCCTTCTGCATTTGTATCATCATGTGATCGATAACAAATGGGATCAGCAATGGAGAAATAAAGCAACCTTGTTTGTTACCACTCTCTTCTGTGGAAGTTTCTCACTGAGTTGCTAATGTGGTAGTGTATCGTGAAAGTTGGGCAGTTGTCGGACGTATTATTACAAATTCAGCCACTAATATTCAACTGCTTAGCCCTAAAATATTGAACGTGACGAGTATCAGTTAACTAATAAAACTAACGAGCCTATAAACTCACCAGGTAACTGCACTTGAGGAAATTGTCTGAAACCGGCAAGAGTTTGTTCTTCTTCAGTAAGGAGAGTTTCTAAAAAGCCGAGGAAGTTTTGTGGACCACAGTCTCCTTAATGCCTTCTTATTACCATGAACCCCGGTCTGGATAGCCCCTTGATCGCCTGGTGCGTTTGGCCAAATCAGAAAAGACCAATGGACGTGCTAACCGCCTGATCTATTGATTACTGTCGCGTACAAGCGGTTCAAAAAAGTGATACTAAGAATACAACTCATCTGTCAAGGACGAGTGAAGAACAGCCAATGAAATCCGTCTCAACGAAAACGGTTATTCCATTGGCTGTTATGCGGTCCCGTTAAGTTCGGAGCTGGTTCTCCTAATAGGGAGCTAATGAGAATGCCCAATAATGTGTTGGCTTTATAGTGTGAGCCTCTGGTTATTATATATATATATATAAACGCTAACACGTATAGCTTTTTTTTACGTCTGATAAACACCTACATGTAACTTTCTGTGTTTTCCAAATACCCTGATTAAGCCGAAGTGATGACGACGCCAATTTGCTGAGTATTCAAAGTCCACCGCACGCCATGTTCAGAATGACAGTACATACTCCTTCGCTTGAAACCGACAGCGAGAAATTCCCCTTTGAAAAGCAAGTTGATAGCCCCGAAGATCGAACGGACCTAACTGTTCGTCGTCGTGAGAGGGACATGGGCTGTTACAGAACCAAAATTTACAGAGAACTAAGTCTTCGGGATGACCGTAAGTTAGTTAAAAATCACTTCTGCATTTTGATTGAGCCTTATTGATTGCCAGGGTATCGATCTTGCTCATTGGGCTGGCGTGTTCAGATGGAGGCCCGCTAAACTATGCCAACAGGGCGGAATACACTCATTTGCAAGCTAATTTGATTTTCGACAAATTTTTAGCAACCTTATGAGTAGTGCATTACGAATATGCCAGAAGAATTTTAATAGTGTCGTACAGATGCCTAAGGACAAACTGAAAGTTGATAATAGAAAACCAACAGCTTTTGTTACAGCCCATTGAAACTCACAATGCTCGTGGCGACGATGTGAGACTGTGTGTGCTCAACCCACACTGCTGCATCAAAGGCGAAATTTCACATAATATAACCGGTCGGTTTGGCTTAGCCAGGTTGGTTGGTCGAGATACGGAACAAGTTCTGGGTGCGGAAAATGTTCGGGAATCCTGTGATGCATAAAATGACCTGTCCTATATTTACAACCTTTACCGTGCTACAACCATATTTAAGCACGATGTTCGAAAAAAATCTTCCAATGCTTTATACCAAGGGATTTTACGACAAGCACAACACAGCAGGGGACAAGCTTCGTTTCATGGAAACTTTTCAGATGATCAGCTAACAATTGTCCAAAATCCGAGCTCAGGAATTAGAATGGTAACTGTTATATCTGCTGGTTCGTCAATCTGTAGTATCTGCCACTGACCCGCTCCAGTGCCTAATGCCGGAAAAGAGACTCGCAGAAGGGAACACAACTGCTATATTCCGAACAAACGAGTGCGAGAGGGTGAGTGCGTGTGAGTGAAGGCAAAAGTTACAACAGACCCACGCTATTTAAAGGGGACCTTCTGACAATGATCCAGGCTGTTTGATAGGGGTTATTGAACGCCCATCAACATCGATCGTGCCTCTATGAAGAGCCTGAACGCTGATCACATTCGGTCGTGGTTCTGTGGCGTGCAAGAACACTCATCAGCTTTTGCCTGAATTGATGAGTGACTGACTGGCCTGGATGCTTGCTGGCTTTCCCGTTGAATTTTCAGTGGAGCGGTAGGTTCCGGGCGTTCTGAGGTTGCTTCCAGGAATCTGACCTTCCTGATAGTAACCGACAAGTATCGTTGTGTTAAAATAACTGCGGGATGAGCGCGCTAATTCATGCGCCAGAAAGTATCACTTCCAAACACACAGGAAATGGCTGTTATTCAAGTCGTGGACGAATTTGCCCCCGGGCTGTTTGACTACCTCTCTCTCGCCTGCTGGATGATCTGATAGCCGGTTTTCAGTTTCACCGAGCAATGTGTTCCTTCTATAGACCTGATAATGCCACCAGTTCAGCCAAGGGGGACCCGGTTATTTTCTAAGCTTGGAGAGGTTTCTGGTAGTTTCACCGTAGTGGTTTCTTCCAGCGGAACAGGCAGTCGTACAGAATACGACTTGAGGATCAGAGGCAGACCTGGCCCATTGTTGAGGAAGAAACAAAAGCATGGATTGTTTTTTTTCAGTATGTGGAATGACTTCTTGTCTGTGAAGAAGTCCCTTAAGATGATAACTGGGCCAGTGCTGGCTTTTTCCGGGCTGTTGGATTCCGGTGCATTTTGGACTGCTTGCTCTTCAATTCGGTTTTTGTCGTTGCGTTGTCTCTCCGAGTAAGCGTCTTGAGCGCATATTATCTGAACACAACAGTGAGTTGGTCAAGTTTCTGTTTCATGCATGAGAGATTTTAGGTTTCTTCATCGGTTTAAACCCACACAGACCTTTTGTTTTACCAGAAATCTGGCAGTATCTAGCAGCAGAGCAACTGTAGACAGATATGTTACCATTTTCGAAGGATGACACCAACACCACGCATTCACACCTTGGTTGAACTACACCAAACGGCTTGGAATGGACCTGGCAAGATTTGTTCACCAGAAAATTAGCTAAACAGGTTTCCTTCCCTCGAGGACTTTAAGTTTGAAAGTAGTAACTTCACTATGAAAGGTGTTTTGCTAACCAGACATTGGTTTCGACTGATTGGCCAACGACGTTTGAGACCCCCTCCGGCATATGGATGGCAGTGAGTTGATTCAGTTGAGTCCACTGCCTGCCACACACAGCAATGGTCAGAGCAGTGTGTCTAGGGTTTCCGGAAACTGACACCTCTGACAAACAATAAATGATGGGTGGTTCTTGCACCATTTGGTGCACCATGCAGTGGGTTTGTCGACAACTCACCAAGGTAAATCCAATGGTATTCCATCTTTTCGCTTTTAGCGGCCATCAACACTACTGATATGCAGCTGGTACTTTGCGTTATCGTGCTCGGCACTAACATTTGGCTTACCAAGATGAGCTAGATGGTTCGATCTACGCCGAAAGCCGCCAAACACTGTATAACTTCTCGTCCTTGCTGGGATTGTGCACCTCTCTAATCTCTAAGTAGATTACTTTCAAGGCGGGCGTTTACATAGGGCGCCACTGATCCCCGGTCGAATACTGTGTAGCATGTGGTTGGCTTTCCATCGAGCAATACTCAGGGCGACCCAGCACACGATTGGAATATCGTGTTAGACGATCGTGTCATATCTGGAATTCCGGGTGATGAGTTTTCAGAGTAGGAATTGTGGGTCATGTGACATGTTTTCCTTCCCACACTGCTTTGCTTTTATGGAATTTCCCACCCGTGTTGGGCGATTACTGACACACCTATCTACATTGTAGCCTCTGATTCAGAAGGGGAAGTCGGAGAGCCCAACGAAACCTCACCAGCTGAAGTTAAACAGACATGGGAGGAAAAGACGGTGAGTTCCCTTCAGCTGATGCTTTGTGAACTACAGCGATTGGTAACAATGTTCTATTCGTGAAGTTTCATTCTACGGTCGGTTCCTTTGCTGTTCTCTTGTTCCTACATCGTTTGGGAGGTCATAATTCTCGCCGATAAGCATAGTTTGGAAAGCGCTTTCGTAGCTTCACAGACGTGGGAACCCATCAGCAAGTTACAAGAATTAATGAGACGTTGGAGAACGGTTTGTTCCTGGAGCAGTTCTCCAAATCGTCTTCGCATGGTATCAATAAAGCACTTGTGACGTCGAAAACGATTGTTTTCTTAAGCTTACTAAACGTTTTCTGTTTCTTTTTTATGATCAATTTGGCAGGTTTACCCGCAGGCATTTAACGAGGTAAGGAAAAGATTGTGCGTCTCTGCTTCAACAGAACTCAAACCTTCACATCTGTTGCTGAATTAAACCGACAAAAGTTGTTTTTTATAATACAATTTACCCTCACGTGACACGTCGGTACGGTCCCGTCAGACAGATGCAAATGTTTTAAAGAGAGAACAACTGCTCATCAGGAGCATCTGTCAGTAAAATTATTCTGCTATTCGGAAAACCCCGTAGAGTTCAGTGTTAGAGCTGGGTCTTGTCAGGTCATTAGATGGGGGCAACTTATTCACGTGAATTCTCTGATGAAAAGATGTTGGCTACATCATCTGTTGCGAGTGCATTTTGATTGACGGTCTCGCACTCGGTAGATCATGGTTAACGGATTAATCTAGTGAATAGAATCGATCGTATGAGCTTCTTTTTCGCTACTCACTTGGTTCAGCTTATCTGACCACAGTAGAATATAAAGCACTTGGAAATAGACACCCTACCCCACGGCGTTTGCAGAGATATTAACAAATATACAGCTTCATCAAGAAGAATTCTGGCTGAACAACGCATCCCTCAAGCTGGCGACAACTAGGGAAATGTTTTCTCGCTTGCGTTGCACCAAGCCTTTACGTAACCACGGTGCTCGACGAATGCGTTTCGAAGCTCTGTCCCCTACATAGTGGAGCTGAATGCACCATCTTACGGAGGTCTACTCTGTTCCTGGCCTAAAGACAACAATTCAAGCAATTTGTTTCTTGAGGCATCACATGGATGTGGTTTGGGGGGCTTCACTGTGATAGGATGACACGTGTTGGGACTGTCCTGTATAGTCCTGAATTTACTCCGGCTTTGGAAGGTTCTCGTTTGACCATGGATGTCTTGATTGTGCCGAGCTGTACAAGTTAAGCTGTGGGCTTACCGGTAAACCACATCAAGGAAATTTTGTCACTCCAACTCCCAATGTGACTGAGTAAGTGACACGTGATGGCACTTTGTAATATCATTTGACTCATTCGTACTGTAACTTACCTGACAAAAACGTTGTACTGATGGCACGATTGTCCTATGCCTGCCTCAAACTCAAAGTCGATTAATATTGGCGTCGTTCACTATAGCGAGAAGTACAACGTACCTCATATATAGCTTGTCCAAGACATCAAGAATTCCAGTTCTGCCCGTCAAGGGAAGTCTGTCTACTCATGCGGATTAAATCGATCCGCAGTGCTAGCTGCTTCCTCAGACCTTCAATAGAGTCGGCCCCATCGCAAAACCTAGTGCTGATGAACTATGTAAAGGCTCTACCAGAACCCGAAAATTAGTTATATGAACGAGAAAACGGAAGCACCAACACTGTCAGCTTGTTGAGTTAAATTATTGCAACAGGTACAAGAGACTTATGGTATTGCAGGTACAGGTTGATAAATCCTGTTGCGAGTCCGGATGCAGGTTTCGTTTTAGCAACACCCGTATTTCCTGACTATCCGTGAGTGAGGACCTGAGTGGTTGGGTGACGTGCGTAGTTCTGTTGAGTTGTGTTGCTGTGCTGATATCCTATATGTAGGAACGTTTGTGTGCGTGTGGGGGCCAGCACACGACTTGTCGAAGTCTTGGGATCTAGGGCTTGACTGTGAGCTGTATAGTCAAATCAGTCACGATTCTGTGGCGTGATTTGTGAGTGTAAGGAGAAAAGGCAGATCTGGCGATCTAGCGATGACCTGGTGGTGACCCGTACAGTCATGCATGTAGCCAAAGGGTGGCTACAACTAAACTGAACTACTAACGGATAAAACTTGCCGAAATAATTGTCGTTAAACCAAGGGGTCTGTTTTTCGTTCAGCATCAACCATGGTTCTATCACTCCTCTGATGAGAATATGTCCAGAAAGAGATGTTTTTAGGCTTGGTTCAACCAGGATAAGATAGCGCACATAAATATCCTTCGATTCATCGTTCGAACCCGAAAAAATGCTTCATTCTTCCGGTGATTGTTTGACGAAATGATGGAAATCATTTGGATACTCTCAGCAAGAAATTAATCCACAGACATCTTGGTTCTGGAAGATCGATGTTGAACCGCTACAACTGACCCAGATCTCTCATGAAATCAATAACGTTAACGATCACATCATCTCATCATCATTTATAGCCGGAACATGTGAGTCTCGGACCGTTGCCCTTTTTTTGCGAAAATTTTAAGAACAAATGGTATTTTCAGGAACAATTGGGATGCAACTGGATGCCTAGATTTCTCGCACCTATATACCGCACCTGCATATTGCACTCGCATAATGCACCATCACTGTTGTAGCGCAGCAATGCAATAATCCATGAGGAGTAGGCTCGAAGATCTGACGGGTAACACAAGGTCACCGTTCCTGATAGAAGAGTCTAGAAAGAGCCCAAAAGACCCATCGTGATGAGAGTCTGCCGAATCTGTAATATTTATGCAGCGAATTCGTGCTGAATCCACTCAACTGCAGTTGAGCGACAAACTCCGAGGAGAAATGGACGCTGTCGATGGATAAGACGCCGGTCTCCTACACTTGTCGAATACCAAGCAAGCCACACAGAACCGTTTGGCGTTCCTATCATTGGTATTCTTCAATTCAGATCAGTTTGCTAAGCCTTGTAAGCTACGCATCTCCCTAGTTGACGTCCAGTCAGTATAACGTAGACCACTTTACCGTTGACCAGTCGATTGCGAGCCCCACAAACCCACCTTCAGAAAGGTTTTGTGGAACAAGACGTAACATAAGTAGATTTTGATCGTTAGGCAAGAAGTGATCAACTACTGCTTCAATGTGAGTAGGTCTAAATTGTGCAACCATACCGCCTGATAACTCGGGACATGAACGTATCAGGAATGTCAAGGACGCTCGATGGGGTTGGATGACAGAGAGAGAGAGAAAGCACAATTACTGTTGAATGCAAGCGTGTATAGTGTCCAAGGAGCTTAGCTTAGGAAAAGTGGTGTGAATTGCTTCAGTATGTGCGTGGCGTGTGCTGGCACAGCGAGATCCCCTGATTGTCCGTTGAGTCCCGTGTTATTCAGCTGCTATCTGCTGTCTACCCTTCAGCTCGCTGCCACCCAACTGGTGTAAGGAAGAAAAACCCTCTCCTGGAAACCATTAATTGGCAAACACTAATTAAAGGGTTACAAACTATTGGACAGGAAAGTAAACAACCCATATGCACCTTATTTTTATAAACTGGACATCCTCAGGCGTCTTCTTGAACTTTACTGGATATTCATTGACCATCACGCAATTGTAGACTAACGCTGCAAAGCAGTTCCACAGGTTCTGTAATAAGGCCTATCTTCCAGTAAACGCGGAACGGAATTACGCGAAAACAACATACTACTCGCACAGCTCATCAGTAGTATCCGCCGTTACACTGGTAGCCGTCCGTGGCCAGTTTCGATAAGCTTCTACCTAGTTGTTCCGGATAGCAGTACCTCCGAATGTTGATCGGTGCGGTGTTGGGCTTGGATTGGTTGTTCCGCTGTCTTACACACCCAGCGCCAAAACATTTGGGTTGTTGTCACACATCACCTCAAATGAGCGGCAGAAAATTAGTAAACTACGGTGATCTGGCCTGCGGTGGATGAGCTTATGACGAATACACCGTAGAGAAAACAGCGAGATACCTGCTCTACTCTAAATTTGCGAGTCATTCATCAGTATTGTCTCGTCCGGCATGCCCATCCGGATGTGTCTTTGAGGTTTCTCAGTCGCATTTAATGATTAGATTATCATATTTTGTTTTTTTT